ATCGCCCCAATTCACATTCCCCATCCCGTTCCATATTCGGTCAACACAAGAGACGCTGACGTCAGCATGACGCGTGATCCACTCGGCCATGGACTTATAAGGGTCGCTCAGATCGACCTCGAGTTTGCCTAAATCACCGCCAATTCTCACAACACCTCCGTATTTCGAGTCGAGAATAGACACAAAAACGTAATCGGTTTCTTCCACACTTTTGTACCCACTCAAACTCCTCGAAAACAGCATATGAACACCATAGAAGAGAGCTTCACAAATAACCTTAGGAGAAAGGGCATTTTCGTCAAGATTTTGTTTGAACAACACAAATTCGACGACATCATCCCAACGAGCTTTACTTTTCGACGTCCAAGCGGCCCCACAAAGCCCACCGAGCCTCCCCCTCGATTTCGCCTTCTCGATAGTGTAGAATTTGGATCCTATATATCGAGGGTAAGATAGGAAAAACGGGAGAGGCTTGTTCTTGTGCCAAAAAGTTTGCCATAGTCCTTGTGCGGCGGTGTGGAGAAAATCTTCGAGCGCAAGAAACTCGTCTTCTTTAAGGTTGTTGTCCGAAGGGTGATGAGGTGGACAAGGCATGCGTATTAACTGCTGAAATAAAACACCCTCCAATGCAAAGTCGAATGTGCGAAGTTCATCGAGTGAGAAGGGGGAGGTGAAATTGAGTGGGCCCTCACTGTACTCCGTCACCCAATTTTCGAGATGCTCCGTGAATACGTTGAGGTCGAGTAGCTTCGTGGAATATTCCTTGAGGAGTTTGTGCACCGTTTTCGAAGTCGGGACGAATTTGCTTGAAGGTCTTGATTTCGAACGAGCAGAAGCTGCACGGAAGAATCAAGAAAGATGTCAAAAGTACAAAACCGAATTGAAAGTTATAGCATTTAAGAAGGTTTACTAAATTACGGAATATTCGACAAATTTTCGACATCGGTAGCAACTCGGACATCGAACGGATAAGTATCTATTTTCTTTGAGCAAAGATATAAGACGAAAAATAACTATAAAAGAATTCAAAGAAAGTACCGGATCCAGGCTTCCGGAAGCTTCCATCCAAACTTGTTCCGGGGGACGAGTCAGTATCGTTTTTTTGAATACCTATACATTATACACGAAAAAACCGTTAGCCGTTACCTTAAAACCCTTCTTAGGACATCATAAATTTATAGCAATTCATAAATCTAAGTTGACATTCATAATCAAGGTACCACCTTTATTTTATATAATTTAAAAAATAAATAAATAAAAATCGGTCATACAACAAACGCACTCAAAGGGATTCGAACACCGACCTCTAACGAAATCGAATGTGCGAAAGGGCTTCGATTAATCAATACCACATTGTCTAAGATTTTAGTGATAAAAGCAAGGTACAACATTCATAAAGCAAAGTACAACCTTCAAATTCAATAACACCAACCTTCCTCTTTTTTTTCCTTTTTGCCATTTTTTAATTTTATTACAGCTCATTTATTTCCTCTTAAATGGGATTTCTCATGTATCAGAATCTTGAAAGTAATTACAAAGATGGAGAAAAAAATAACCAATAATAGATACAAACAAGCAAGTGTGAGAAACCCAGTGTGTGCTAGTGTGTGTAAGGATGAACAAGAAAACCCACCTGTTCTCATCTTTTCTCTGAAGCTGCTTCCATGGAGATCTCAGACAATACAATGATATTCTTGAAACCCAACTACCATTCTCACACAGTGCCAAGGCATAATAATGTCAAGAAACAAGACAAGAGTGTATGGAGGAGAGAGAAAGTAGAGAGAGAGAGAGAGAGAGAGAGAGAAGCTTTGGTAATGGAAAAATGAATGTAATGAAGAGATTTTTCTGAAAAAGAAATTGAATTGAATAGTTTGGAAGAGAGGGGTTTGGTTTCAATGATGATGTTGATGGTGCCTCCCACAAGTTTCTATGCCATTTCTTTATTTTTAAATTTATTTATATATATATATATATTAATGCAAGGTTCACTTTTGTTTGTTTGCTTTTGTTTTCATGCTTCTTGTTGTTTGACGTTTGTCTAATTGTGTGCATTTATTATGTTCTCTCAACATTAAATTTTTGGGTAAATTACGACGTTTGGTAATTCTAATCCTGAGGAAAGTTTAAATTACGAAAAATACTCTTTATGTTTAGATAATTATAATTTTTGGCTCAACTATAAATTTTCTTACATATCTATTTTTACAGTGTTAAATTTGGCTTGTAAATATCAGATTGTGATGCATAAAAAACTGCATTTTTGCACAAAACGACTATAAATTAGAGAATATTTCACGAAATGTAGAAGATTATGTTGGATCTTTTGACACCATAAGAATGAATGTGTATGAAGATTTATAGTTGAGAAGAATGATTGTAATTATCTAAACAAGAAGGGGTTTTTTAGTAATTTATCCGCGGGTGGCCCTAATCTACCCATCATAAATATAGAATATTTTGACCAGGTAGGCAATAAGAATTATTGCATCGTGGGCAATGTAGTTCAGGTAATTATCACTCCAATCCTTCAACTTCTTGAAGTTTACAAGAAATAATCTAGGGGTGTTGATTCAGCAAAATTTTATGTCGAAACCGAAACCAAAACCGAACTGAAATATATGCTCGTGCGGTACGGTAATTACCTAATTACCACATTTAAAAAAAATTATTATAATTAAATATTTATGTATTTTTAATATACAATTAATAAATAATATTTAATATGCTTCATCAATAAAAAAAATGTATTTTAATAATATTTAAAACTATATTTATAATAATATCAATATTGATTACGTACCGAATTCCAAAATTTACAGAACCAAATAACTGAATACCGAAACGAATTCCCAAAATTCTCCGTCATTCAGTATGTGTTGAAATTTCCATTCTTCAACTCATTTAATCGATTTACTTAACTTTCTCGAAAAAAAAAATTGATTTACTTAACCAATGAACGCATATACTGAAACAATGTTTTTTTTCCAAACAAAGAACCAATGGTTTTGGGCTCAAAACGTAAATTTGTAAAGTATGAGGGGTGGAGATGCAAATAATAGTGAAGCTAAATTTGTACAGGTCACGGGCATTATTAAAACAGGCAATATAAAATTAGGGCAAATTACCAAAACCCCCCTGAGGTAAGTCTGAATAACGAAAATCCCCCCCATGTTCCCGTAATTACGAAAATCCCCCTTGACTAACGGTTGACCGAGTTTTTTTAACCGAAAACGTGAAATGTCTATTATATCCTTCTGTTAAATATGTGAAAAATAAAAGAAAAAAGCTGAAAATGTGTATAGTCTATTGTACCCTCTGTTAAATCGTGCTAACATTGTTAAAACACGTTTCTTTTTGTTCCTAACAATACAACGTTTTCAATATCTGATCTTTTCACTTTTATTTTTCACTTTTATTTTTCACATTTATTTTTCACTTTTTCATCTGTCACGACTCCCCTCTTCACTTGGAGATTAGAGAAGATTAGGGCTGAACCAAAGAAATTGTTATCATCACCTATCATTGCTCGAATCGCGAAGTTTACGTCCAGAATCAAAGGTTTGTATGGATATTTTGTTCAAGTTTTTTAGGGTTTTAAATTTCGGTAAAAAATTAGGGTTTTTGATTTTTGGTTTCAAATTTCTTCTTTTTCTTGTTTCTACTTTCTGATCTTTGGGTTCTTTGTTTTCTATTTTTTCGAGTTTCAAAAGGTACTATATTTTGTTCAAGTTTTTTAGGGTTTTAAATTTCGGTAAAAAATTAGGGTTTTTGATTTTTGGTTTCAAATTTCTTCTTTTTCTTGTTTCTACTTTCTGACCTTTGGATTCGTGAAGGGGAAATTAGGGTATTCTGATTAGTTTGGTGAAGGGGAATTAGGGAAATTTGGGTATTTTGCTTCTCGTGAGGGGAATAATAAATTACAGAAGTTAGGGAAATTAGGGTGGTATTCTGATTGGGATTTCTAATTTTTTATTTTTTGGTCTTATTTTTTTATTTTTGGTTTATAATTTCTGATTCCAAAGAATTAATTTATGATTTTGGGGATTATGTTTGTATTTGAATCTGATATGTTTTTTGTGTTTGTATTTGAACTGCAGATGGTAGATTTATGCTCTGTTATTCTACACTACAGATCAAGTGAAGTTAAATTTGATAATATTGATCCTGACAAGTATAGTTATGAGGACTTATGTCTAGCCATTAGGAGATCATTTCCTAGTATTAATGGGGGTATTGAAGGGTTAAAGATGACATATATTAATGAGGATATTGAAGGGTTTCAAGGGTTGAGCATGGACTGTAGCTTCGATGTAAAAACAATGTTTGCCTTATGTGTGGATAATTGCTTCCATGTGTTAGTTGAGGATAAAGATCAGAGAGTTGAAGAAGACTCTGATTCTGATTTCCAAGCCAACATTGATGAAGATGACAACAGAAGTGAAGTGCCAAGTGATGAAGCTAATGATGATGATGATGCACTGAGTGGATATGAGTCAGATAATCATTGCGAGCATACAAATTGGTCTGATGAGGAGCTGGATAATGATCCATTACAAGGAGGCATGGATTTTGGGGATACAATATTCACTCCTGAACCTGGGGAAAAGATCAAGTTAAAGAAAGGTCAGGTGTTTACTGATGTGTATCAATTTAGACAAGTGTTGAAAGATTACATCATTCAAGAAGGCTTTCACTGTGTGAGAGATAAGAATGAAAAGCAGAGGGTTAGAGTACATTGTGGGGGTGAAAACTGTGCTTGGAGACTTCATGCCTCCACCTTACCTGATAATGTAACATATATGATTAAGGTTTGTCCATGTGAGCACACATGTACCAGAGGAGCTGTTGATAATGAGGTCAGTGCCAAGTGGTTAGCCTCAAAGCTGATGGATCTCTTAAGATCAGACCCTGATGCAAACCTGAAGGCAATGAGGCATGAGGTGACAAAATATGGGGTCAAACCACAATACATGCAGTTTTACAGGGCTAAAAGCATTGCACTTGATCAGATACAAGGAAACCATGCAAAATTGTTTGAAAAACTACCATATTATGGTGCTATGGTTCTTGCTACCAACCCAGGCAGTGTAGTTACACTACAATGTGATGTTGAAGATGTTGAAGATGAAAATGGGTTAGGAGTACCACAAAAGCCACCTACATTCAAGAGGTTTTTCATGGGACTTGCTGCACTGAGAGATGGATTTTTAAGTGGGTGTAATCCATTTATTGGCTTTGATGGATGCCATCTTAAAGGGCCATATGGTGGTGTGTTGCTTTCAGCAATAGCACTGGATGGCAACAATGGCCTATATCCAATAGCATTTGCTATTGTTGAGACAGAGAATATGGACAGTTGGAGTTTCTTCTTTCATAATCTCACAATCATGTTGGGAGGATTTTCTGATGGAAAGCCATGGACATTTATGACTGATAGGCAGAAGGTAAAGTCATTTGAGGACTTTCATAATGTCTTTGTTATAATTATGTTTTTTGATCAAAATAATTTCATAATGCATTTTTTTTCTTTATGTCAGGGACTGGTGGAGACAATTTCAGAGATGGCCCCCAATGTAATGAACAGAAGGTGTGCTAGGCACATTTGTGCCAATTTCAGAACTCATTTTGCTGGAGGTGCACTAAAGAAATGGTTTTGGTCAGCTGCCAGGTCATATACTCCCTCTGGTTTTAACTTTGCAATGTATAAAATGAAAGAGTTGAATGTTAATGCATATAAGTGGTTGCTAGCTATTCCATCTGAGCAGTGGTCAAGGTATGCCTTTGATAAAAGGCTTAAAAATGACCATGTTACTAATAACATTTCAGAGTCTTTTAATAATTGGATTGAAGAATTTAGACTTATGCCTTTCTTGAGTTTGTTAGATGGTCTAAGGTGTAAACTAATGAAAAGGCTTACAAATAGGGCTGCAAAAGGGCAGAAGTCCACACATGAGTTAATGCCAACTGTAGTTGAGAGGTTAAATATTGCAGTTGAAGAGTCTAGGAAGTGTGAGATTGTAGTTGCTGGAAATGATCAGTTTGAAATTAAAGACAAAAGAAATCATTTTGTTGTGAATTTATCAAACAAGAGATGTGACTGTGAAGAGTGGGATTTGTCTGGACTGCCTTGTAAACATGCCATAGTTGCAATCAAACACAACAGGCAGAGGCTTGAGGATTATACAGATAAGTGTTTTTCCAAGGAAATTTACATGACAGTTTATGGTCATTTTATCAATCCTGTTAACCACCCTGATTTCTGGCCAGAACACCTAGATGCCACTCCAAAGGATCTGCAACCTCCTACTTATAGGAGGTTGCCTGGGAGACCTAAAAAAAATAGAAGAAAAGAGGCTGGAGAAGGCCAATCACAGAAAAGATCAACTGTGGTTAGATGCAAGAGATGCAAAGGTTGGGGGCATAACATTAGAACTTGCAAAGGACCAACTCAGTCTAGGAGAGGTGCCACAACCACAGCTAATGGGGTATGTTGTACAGTTTATTATTTTTACTTCATGTGTTCTTACAATTTGTTTATATGTTTCTAAGCAAATACATATATATTGTAGGAAAATACACAATTTCAAGCCTCTAGCAATCCAGAAAGACAAGGTGAAGCATCAGTGTTGACTAGAAGAAAAAGAGCAAATGCTACTTCCAAGTCCCAGGTATTCTGTTTTTTTAACTTTCTTATTATGTATTTGGTGTTCTGTATTCTGTTTAATTTTTTAA